CCCCCCCCTCCCTCTTTCTCCTTCCAGTGAGGTAGACAAGGCCATGAAATCAGCTAACCTTCAGCCTTCATTTTGACTCACTAGATACTTAATACACGCTATAGGGACTGTTAATGAGGAAAAGTGTCTTTCTGCTTCCACTTAATCAAATTAATTCAATTCATTCATTCAACAAATATTTTATTAAGCACCTACAATATGCCAGGCACTGTGCTGGGTGCTGGGGATACAACTGTGAACAAGATAGACACAGTCCCTGCCCTCAAGGAGCTTACAGTCTAGTAGTTATACAGACAAGTACACAGGCAATTACAATGCAGTATGGTAAGTGCAGTGGTGGGGAGAAAACATTAAAAGGGCACCGAACTCAGTCTCGTGGGCAGGGGATGGTGGATGGAAATCTTCCCAGGGCGGGTAAAAATTCAATTTGAGTTCTGAAGGATGAGTGTAAGTTAGTCAGGAAAAGAGGAGGAGATAGGGAAGAGTTATAGACTGAAGAAATAGTAAGTGCAGTGTCCCATGTTCCCATGTGCTGCTTTGGAGGCTCATCTGCAGGAGAGAGCGGTTGGGTAGGGGTGAGAGAAGTCATGGAAGAGATACGTAAGGACCAGGTCAGAAAGGGACTCATTTGCTCTGCTCAAGAGCTTGGAATTTTTCCTGAGGGAACTCTGTGTGTGTGTGTGGAGAGAGACAGAGAGAGAGAGCGAGCAGATTTGAGCATTTACAGATTGCTCTTACTGCAGCACAGAGGGGGATGGAAATCTTGAGCACTGAGGCAAGGTGTTCAGTCCGTTACCTTTCCAACGTCATCTTCCTTGATGCCACACCTTGTGCTCTCTCCGGTCTATTCGGTTGCATCCACTCCTTAAGCCATCCACACGCGCAGCTTTGGGCCACTGTTCGTCCACAAGGCTCTTAACACCTTCTCCACCAATGAAAACTCAACTTATCCTTCAAAGCCAGGCGTCCAAAATAATCCTAACTTGTGCTTTCTGTCAAGTATTATGATCTCTAAGTCTTGTGATGTTAATCTGTACTATAGTGCTTATTTATTATTTCAAGTGATTCAAACCTCCTTTTGGACCATGTTAACTTAATCCCTTCACAACATAAAGTTTCTTTTGTAAATAAACATGGGTATAATTTTTCCCCCCACAATTTTCAGTTGAAAACAAGGACTGATTCTCCATTTGTCTACCACCATGATTAGTGCCTTCAAATGATTTAAATGGAATATGAGGATGGGGGGAGAAGCCCAAAGAGACACATTATTTTATGCAGCAAAGTACAGTCAAGTAAAATTTCAACACAGTTACAGGGTATGTTGCTGTTGTGACAATGATTAACTTCCCAGTTCAAACACTCCAACTTTGACATTAACCTGCTAATGAGGCAAAGATCTGTAAAAGAGGGTAGCTTAGTATGCAAAAATAATAAGGACTAGCTATATTTCCCAATATGGTCCACACTTTACAATCCCTCCTATAGTCTTATAATTTCTCAAATAACTTTTATAATGATAAGAAAAAACTTTAAGCTCTGTAGATACTGTAGGAATGTCCGTTGTTTGATTCTTTTTGGTGGGTACAAAAAAACCACAATTTTGTACACAGAACAAGAGTATAAATAATAGCGATACCATGAGTGACCCGTAGTCTCTCGGTCCTACACTGTGGCCTGATGATTTTACATTAACGTCATTTTCGTTGCGTTTCTGTTCCGGGTATCGAGACAAATGCAATCTGTGGACACCGATTCATGTGACAGAGTGAAGGTTACAGCAAACAAGATGACCAACAACCTTTATTAAAAAAAAGAAAAAAGAAAAAAAAAAGTCTCTAACGTTTATTACAGTGATGGCATTTATGTCAATTATTGCAATGTGTTGTTCCCTAAGATGGTTAGAAAAAAGAATCGCGTTGTCCTCTACTGAGCTTACGTCATTTAAAAAGCAAGCATGTTTCAGTAGTGTTTTCTCCAAAGTAAGTGTAAATACTGCCTTTAAATTTTTTTTTTTTTTCACAGGATTTACATGTTTGTTTATGATGTTCTCCTCACAGTTTCGTGTTTGTTTTCTCAGCTGGACAGTCTTGGGGCATCAGAGGGGTGCTCTGGAGACACGGGGAGCTGGGTGCCTCCTGCAAGGTTTCATCCGTGGCTGTGAAGACCAAGGCCTTTCAGAGCAAGAACTTCCCAAGCCTGATTAGTTTTTAAGTCCACTCGCGTGAAGGTTGTTGCTGTTAATACACCCGGCCCAGAGCCCACCCCCACTCCCCGAGAAATCCTAAATGGTGAGTTTTCCTGATAGAAAATCTGAGTTCGGGTCTCCGAGCTGAGCTCATGCACACGTCGCTGCCGCCGCCCGAGGTGGGCCGGCCGGGCCCTGCGCGGGGCCTGCCCGGGGCTGCGCTCCCTCCGTCAGTCACCAACACAGTGTGATTAAGGCACTCAATTATGTTTTTGGTTTTTATGGTAGGTCCGATGCAATGACAGCCAATCCTGAACTTTGTCTGATTGCAGTTCCAGCGTGGACAGCCTTTGGGCAGTCGGGCGTCAGCACGCGGCCGTTCTCACCCACGCTCCCGGTGATGGATAACCTGGCTTTGTTTCTTATGGCTTCAGAAAAGGTCAGCTGGGGGCATGGAGAGGAAACAGAAAACAATGCCGAGGGTTACACTAGCTCTGCTTCTGCCACGCCCGGTGACACAGCAAACACCGACATATCAATATTAGACATCTGCATTTTTTTCCACATTTTTTCGGTCATGTGAAAACTGGTTGTCAGGGGGGACGGAGCTCAGCTACGGGGAGGAATGAATCAGTCTGGAGTTTGTGGTGCTACCTGGTTAAGAAGTCATTCTAGAATCATCAGACTAGGTCTTGGTTAGCAAATCTGGGAGGACACCCCTTCGAACTAGCTGCACGCTACACCCTAATGCTTCTTAAAAGCTCCTTTAGATCTTACGCTGTTCTTTCAGCCTTTTTGTCTTGCTGGGAATTGTCTTTAACAAGGATTTGTAAAATCTCTTGCAAGGATTATACTCTTAAAATTGTGATGGATTGTCTAAACAAACGATATACATGGAGTGCTCGCGACAGAGCTTCCCGTTTTCAGAATGCAGATCTATCCANCTACACCCTAATGCTTCTTAAAAGCTCCTTTAGATCTTACGCTGTTCTTTCAGCCTTTTTGTCTTGCTGGGAATTGTCTTTAACAAGGATTTGTAAAATCTCTTGCAAGGATTATACTCTTAAAATTGTGATGGATTGTCTAAACAAACGATATACATGGAGTGCTCGCGACAGAGCTTCCCGTTTTCAGAACGCAGATCTATCCACAGACTTTCATTCATTCACACCCGTTATAGACATGACCCAAAACAGCACGTGAAGTCCATTCTCTACCTAATGTGGAAGCTAAGGCATGTTAAGGAGCTGTAAGTGCTTAAAGGGGTGCACTGAAAGGGGGCACGTTTCAATACCTAGAGAATGGTCATCACTGGGGAGCTTCCCACATTGAGGTTTTAGGGTCAGGTCTCTGAAATCCTCATTAAATTCTTGTTCTGTGTCACATTAGGTAGCAGATAGTAGTAATATGACACAGTGGAGAGACAGGTGGTGGTGTTATGTAAACCCACTGTTCACTCATTGTCTTTAAATTCTTTCTAGAGCTGAATTTTAATGTTTACTCACGAGGAAAAAAAAGTAAGCAAGATATTACCTAGATTTGTTATGGATTAGATCTTAACTTTCTCATAACTCATAATGTATCTAACTTCCCTACTGTGAATGTAAGTTAATCTTATTTTTTAAGAAATTCCATCTTGTATTTATTCTGCCATGAAAGTTAAATATTTGAACAATTATACGTTAAATAATGAAATTAATAATTGGATTAAAACTGCTATAATGAAAAGGTTTAGAGATCAGGCACCCTGATAACTTTAGAAAGTTGAAGTCAAATTGCTAGGCAATGGCTCATTTATGATAAAAACCAAGTCATTATCATAGTTCTGCTTTAATGAACAGCCTCAAAAATGAATACTTATCTTCATAATTAGAAGTCAGGAGAGAGTCTCTACAGAAACCCTACTCATCACTAAATTAGAACAAATGAAGACCAAAGTCTGAATCTTCTTCTTCAGATTCCCTTTCAACATTTAATACTAAGTAAAATAGATAATTATTTTTTAAAATTAGTTCAGTATTTAATTTTTGAAGAGGATATACTAAAATACAATTAATAAAAGGAGCGTGCTGTTTTGAAGGAATTTTTGCAGAAGGCTTTGCAATAAAATCTATTTTTGTTTCTTTTCTTTTGCCTTGGTGAGGAAAGGAAAGCATCCAAAAGTAGGAGATCGCACGTAGTTCTGAGTATTCTCTCCTCTACAGATTAATGCAACCAAGTGTAATAATAAATCTTTGTCAACTCCTTAATTTCTCTTTAAATCTCAGCATTCTTAGTTCTTAGCATTCTTATTGCCTATTATATCTTCCAATTCTCCCATAAAAGGTCATTTCTATTCATCTTGATGTGAACCTGTTGAAGCTGCTCAAACTGGAAAAGTTTCTTAAAAATTTCCATATGTCTGTGTCTGGTTGGATTGTTGTGGCTGATGGCTATGATTTTAATTGTATGTGTTCTCCTTGAGGGATGGTCACTTTTAAAGTTGAACTCTACAATATATTGAAGGTTTTAGGTTTTGTTTCTGAGATTCTGGAACAATATTATCTAAATTGTCAAATATTTGCATAATTATGGCCAACAGAGTTTTTGAAAGGAAAAAGCCATTTAATATGGGAGTGCAACAAAAACAACTTACTTTCAAGGCTTCTCTACAGGTGCAGATCACTTCATTTACCCTGAATTCCAATATGTCTTTTAAAAAGTCATATGGAAATTAATGCTTTATTTTTATATGAAATTTATTGTCTTAAAAGTTCAACCCCAGCTCTAAAGGCAATTCATGTGATGAACTGCAATGCCAGATTCTGCTTCTGAAAACATTATTAGATGTAAATTGTATGTACATAACCTGGGAATGTTCATCTCTCTTTAACAACTTCCCAGAGCTTTGTAATAAACTGGCATCCATGAGCATTTCTTTCTGGAATTTTCCAGTATTCTTTTTTCCTTTGCTTTGCTTCTCTGCCCTTGGACTTTGCTGATGGTTGGAATGCTTTGCTATGCCAAAGAAAAGTAAATTTTAATAAACCGATTAAAATTTTTATTGAAGACATCTTATAAAATTCATCTCAAAATGAAGTCTAAATAATTGGCTCTGAAAACCTTTCAGGTTTTGTTCTTCTCATTCGGGAAAATCTCTCCTCAATTCTGTAAATATTAAGGTGAAAGCATTCTTATAATGGCCCAGGCTTTGATACCATCCTAGTTTGTTGTTTTGCTTTTAGAAAACATGCTCAAAACATTCTGATCTGAGTGAATTGAGGGTTTTATTCTTAATTTTTTCCCACAAAATTGGGAAAGAACCAGTTTGGGCTTACTTATGTGCAGTTATACTCAGTCATTGATTTCTAGAATGTGGATAAAAGCAATTAGATATTGTTTTAAGATACAAATATTTCAATAACTTTTATATGAAGAAATAAATATTAAAATCAAGCACGTTTGCCTGGCATAACCTCAGGTGTATATCTTACTATGAAAATTATATTAGGTTTTTTACATCAAGCATGGAATGTCTCTCCTGGGTTTAAAGACTCTTTTGTCATTTTAATCAGAATGAGCAACCTATTCAGCTGGCTGTTATATATAACTTTAGGAAATAGGTTTTAGAGACCTGTTTTAGGAAGAGCAATAACAAATGCTTTTAGATCTTATTTTAAAACCACTTGCAACCACTAGAGGAAAAAAGTAGTGGACATTTAGGTTCTTCCAAAATTATCTCCATCTCCTATTATTTCACTGAATGCCCACAATTTTTTTTATTGTGGTGTGATGAGAGCATGTGAGTAAGTGCGGCTGATCTGGCTTACTTAAAGCAATTGAAATAAGAAAAAATCCGCAATAACTCACAGCAATTTTTATCTTTTACTGCGTTCAAAAGCACACATACTGCTGATATCTCTGATGGAGAAACTGCTATATTGTCTAAAGTGTCTGACCACCTTAGTGATATTGTGAACATAAAAAGCTGAATTTCATCTAATAAACTCTAATAAACGTGAATTGTGGTCAATATCCTGATGATCACTCCTGCCTGAAGGTCTGGCTCAAGGACTCCTGTCAGATGAGCAAACAGCTGGGTTTTACTCTTTAAAAATATAGAGCGATGGCTAATGTAAAACAAATTAGAATCGGAGCTCAAATGTGTTGAGCATCGACTCTGCTCCATGAAGCTTTTGCATATAATGTTTCTCAGAAAACCTGATCTGGCAGCTGCCTGAGCTTTGATCATTTGAATCGGGTTTTATACTTATTTTGTTAACACTTATTTTAAAATTTGATTGTTCCGGAGAAGATCAGCCTAGTCTATGTACAAAGAAAACCCAGATCCAGTTTCCAATTCCTCTCAAATTTCAGGTAGGATATAGTGTTTAGATCATTTCACAGAGTGATTCTGCGGGTTTGTTTTTGTCTTTCGGGCCCTTTCAATGCAGATCTCTATTGGCAACATAAAGGTTCAAACAGAACATCTGCAGCCAAAGAAAACCGAACCGCTTTGCACTGAAGTTGTCGGAGTTATGAAGCTCTAATGAGAAGCAAGCAAAACCACCACGGGACAGACAGGTCACAACACTGCGTTTACAGGATGCATCACCCACTCACTGTAGTAGGCCCTAAGTCCTACCCCTAAATTTTAATACTTTCGGTTCCATATACGTTGTAACCTTCTCTATAGGTTGCTAAATTCTGGGTATTCTGCGAGGAAGTTGGGTTAAAAGTCTGTGCACTCTTTGCCACCTTCATTCTCTTCGCTTCTGCCCTGGACTTGTAACAGAACTCTATCAAAGCCACCAGCATTGCCAAGCCCAGGCCGCCAACCAGAATGTAGAAGACGCCTGCTACGTTGCTCAGGCTCAAGGCACTCGTCTTGTCCTGCGGAGGGGATAAACACACTTCAGTTAACTGTGGAAATGTCACATCCAAAGCAAAAGAACACATGAAATCCAAACAGCTAATTAACATAAATGCTTAATTTAACCTGAAGTTATTTACATGTATAAATCACTGATGCAGGTTTACGGATTTAAAACAAAGCTTATAGTTCTCAGAAGTAAAATTAGGATGATTACCAATAAATTGGGTGTAATTACATTCAATAAAATCTGTAACACTTTATCATTAGCTACGCAACGAAAACCACTCTCCTTAGCCATGATAAGCGTTTATGTATTTACGAAGGGTGGCAGAAGTGGGCCTATTATTACTGTTAAGTTTGAGAATGACATGTTTAAGACACAGTTACATGGAAAGGGGACCTCTTTGGGTTTTCCTGCCATTAAAACATACTTTTAATGTTGGAGATTTCTCTCAAATAAATCTAACTTCACATTTCCTAATTAAGGAACTAAGGTTTTTTAAGCTAGCAATTTCACATTTTGTTCATCATTACTTTACCAAATATATACAAACAATGTGTTGGGGTACACATTGTTTGTTCTTTCAGTAACATCTGTATGGGAAATCTGGAAAGTGTCACTTTTGCATACTATCTACTATTTAGGATTGATTACGTATGCATCACACAGGTGACTATTTTAAAAGAGAACTTTAAAAAATACACAAATTACCATGATCAACTGAGAAATAAATTATGTATGGACCAATTTATATAACTATTTTTATTGATTTAAAAATATGATTCCATTTCCACTTAAAATGTTTAATCAGATAATATTTTAGCCATAGTATTCTCCAGAACCTTAGTATACATTTTATCTCATAATAAATTCAGAAATAGTCAAGCATATGTTTGAAAGATATTAAAATTATAACAAGAATTCAGCACTTTTTCATAAATTGTAAATATGCATATTATACATAACATTATTTGAAAAGTATTTTGGGTAGACTACCTGAAGGACACTCTCTGGCCATCATCTTCTCAGCAGTATGTTTTGTGCAAAATGTGATTTAGACACTTAAATCATTTTAATAGGAGAGGGTTTGATTCCAGAGATGTACTATGTACACTGTCTAGTTAGCCATGACATCAACTGATTGGGCCAAAAGTTTAAGGTAACTTCATTTTTAAAATAATCACTCAAGTATTTATGCTTGACATAAGGATTTGAGATAACTATTTCATTATTTGGCCAAGCTTGTCTCATTCCACTCTGGTTTAAAGGCAGATAAAAGTGATTATAAGAGAGGGATAAGCCCTGAAAAGGGATCAATTAACATTACTTTGTCCCTTTGTTAAATTAATTGAGGTTCTCTTATTTAAGTCAGTCACTTGTTTAATCTTAGAATTATCTGTATGTATCACCTATCTATCTATCATCTATCATCTATCTATCTATCTATCTATCTATCTATCTATCTATCTATCTATCTATCATCTATCATCATCTATCATCTATCTCTATCATCTATATTTTTTTATTTCTAAAAGAAGATAAAGAAAAAATAAAAGAAGATTCTAAGAATCCTCAACCATGGCTTTCAGGCACTGTTATTACATTCTATTAATTTGTGCAGTATTTAGATTGACTGATAGGTTGTTACATTTTTTTTTCTTTAGAATTAAAATACAAATATTTCTAACACTATTTTCAACAGAATCAGGCTTATAGTTTCCTGCATTGTTCTCAAAAGAATTCGTGAACAAAAGATCTTAGAACTTGAGGCTACTATTCATCAACACTGATTTCTTTAAATCATTTTGATAGAATAGAATTGAAGGGTTCACTCTGTTGCTCTGTCAGCACAAAAACATAATAGGGCCTCTTCAAACTAAAGTGGAATGGTTGGCAATATAGTGACCAAAAAAGACTGAACTTCTGAATAAGATAATTTAATATTTAAAATCTTTTTCTGAATGACTACCGATCCATTTCCCATTTTTTTGTTTTGACCATGCACCTGTTCTTGAAATAATACATTTCATGGTCTTTGCCTCCAAAGTCATAAAAAACTTAACCCAAAAGCGCTACTTTTATTAGTGGTACGTAAGTTTGAGACTAATATAAGGAATTTGTATTACTTTTATATTTTTGTAGTTAATTTAAATTTTTATTTAATATTGGGGAGCAGGTTGCAATTTTCTGAAAAGACCGTCCCTGTGGCTGAAATTTATGGTATTAGCTTCGAATTTGGGTGGTGTATAGAGAAACGTTTAAGTTTTTACTGGGTCCATATCCTTCATTTTTGACAATTGCTCCCGTTTTGTGAACACCAGAGGCGGCCCCGAACTGCAGCGACTGACCTTGCTTCCAGAGTCCTTGGGTCCGCATTCACCTTTATCGTACCACCATTTGTTTTTCAGCTTGTCTAAGACGCCTGCCTCACTGAGTTTCAAAACGGCAAGGTTTACAGGAGTTCTTCACGTGGAAAATAACATAAATAACATTATATATGTTATTTTATGTTATTCAAGTAAAACTGCATTAGAATCGCATGGCAAAGTGACAGAGCAGAGGCCACAGGGGGCGCTGTGTCTTGCACTGTAGGCCCAGGTTTAGAATCAGACACAAAACTGGGGCCTGCTCCATCGCTTTAGGTAACAGGCACATACTGCTCGGGAGGATTTTTAAACAAAACGTATGCAATTACTGTGAATCCAAAACTATTGGCCTCGGTTGGGTTTCTCGAGCGTTTATAATTTCCCAGCATGATTGTATGTCATTCAAAACCCAGAGCTGATTTTTTCTCTCTTTCTGCAAGTGTCTGCAGGCTGACAGACGGCTTAAATAGGACTGGTTTCATCTCTCACGTGCATATGATCAGCTGGAGGGATTTTAGTTTATGCTATAAAAGGATGTCTACACTGTCCGTCATTAAGTGGGTCCCTTCACCTCTCTCAGCCAGGACCGAATGGAAAGAGGAAGGTGACTCAGGTGTCCACCTCATGCAGGTTCTTAATAGACACAAATAGGTAAATCATTATTGTAAAGTGTAAGCCCGCGCTGACATTTTCCTTCTGAACTTCACTATTTAACTCACACAATATCACCAGAAGCAATTTGCATCCCTCTTGTGTCTGCCACATTAATCAAAGCACAAAGGGAAGTGGCCATAATACACTTTACTAATTCTTACCAGTAAACACCTGATGGGTTAGGGGTAAATAAGATTCTGATCAATAAACAAACTCCCTGTACTGTGAAGCGCCATCTCCCTTCTCTGCTCGCTTGGAGCCCTTCAGTACTAGGTGCTTGATAGGGAGTCTCCGGGGGAGGGTCGGGCGTCGCTCCGCATCAATGTGCCAAGGACACTAAGGACTGTCTGCTTTCGTTCCCGCCCTAACCTCTGTGTGTACAGAAGAACTCGGAAGCTGGATGGGAAGCAGCAACTCCCAGCCTCTCCTGTTGTTACTGTGTTTGTGGTTGGTTTCTTTTTGTTATTTTTACTTTTATAAACATTCTGAGAGGCTTTCGCGCTCCTCTTTCCTTCTCGACGCTCCTGAGGCCGCTGCACTCATTCTGTCTGGCTGTGGCTCCTCACGGCTCTCCCCTAGGAAATGTAGAGTGCATTCAGGGAAACGCAGCTGGCATTTTCCTTGGTTATCAGGAAATGAATTCCATAAACTTATCTACAAAACTAGGTGCTATATTTATAATGATGGTGATAACGATAGCTAACATTTACCGAGCACTTACTATGTGCCGGGCATTGTGAAAAGCATTTTACATGCTTAGTTACTATTATCACCCGAATTTTACAAACCAGGAACCAAGGCACAGAGGGGCTAACTCATCTAGTCACACAACTGGGAATCAGAATTTATAACCGTCCGACTTCATAGCTGTGCAATTACAAACGTTAACAAGGGGAGACTCAGGGAATGGGGGTTCTGGTTGAGTTTTCTGGTTAAGAGTTAAATTAAAAGCCATTTATTTTGTACTGTTGTTTCCAAAAAATGTTTCTAAAATATGTTTTTCTTTTTGTCTATCAGATCTCTGAATACAATTTAATTTTTGTATGAATGTCATAAGCTCTTACAAAGTTCATTGTTCCATTTAAGAATATGCATTTGCCGCATTCCTAGAATATTGTTTTTTTGGATTAAAATCTAACATGAGCATGACTTACCACTTTCTACTAAAAGCTGAATTTGGGGTGAGGAGGGCTGAGGTGGGGTGAGGATTGCGATTAGCTGGGCTGCTCGGTTAATTTAGCCCCAACCCGAGGGCTACCTATATAACCCCCCTCGCCTCCCTTTATGAAGTGCTTATTACAAAGCCACACTTCAGGCTGGTTGGTGAACTGCCAGCTCCTTGAACACAGAAGCCGCATTTCATTCATCTTTGTAGAACAGTATTTGCCAGGGTATCTACTGAGAGTAAGGGCTCTTCTATAAAGTGGCTACATTCCAACTATTTTGAATCCAGAACAAGTTTTTCCCTTCAACTGGTACTCTAAGCGTTTTTAGATTCCTAGGCCAGCTTGCTAAAGCCTTTTTAAACTATTCGGTGCATTATCTTAGCCTGTGTTACACTTTTTCAATAGGTACAATGGGAGGAGGAGGAGTTCGTGCTGAAAAGGGAAAGACAATGAAAGCAGTTTCCAAGTTTCTTCGGAAGGGGTGGCTGAAGGCAAATTGAGCATTAGGTAAAGGCTGCTGGCTTCTCTCGCCCCCTTCGTGAAGTCCTAATTTTCCCCACCCCCTTGACTTTCCCCTGCCGCTCTGTCCCTTCTGCTAGTCACTACAGTAGCTTGGTTTTAGAGGTAGGATTAGATTGGAATTTTGAATATAAGATATTTATTAACCAAACTTACTGGTCAACTGGTGGAATGTCAGGCACTGAGCAAGGAATTCATTACTGGGAGATCCCTCCCCGAAGGGTTAGCTTTCCTTAGTGGTTTTTGTTTACCACAACATTTTCCCTGTGCTTATGAATTCATATTTTCCCATAATAATCCCTTTAGTCTTGCACTGGTTTCCATGGCTGTGGCAAAGGGAAGGAGGCCATTTATAAGTATAACATATTTTAAAGTCAAGAATGGGCTGTATTTTTCAAAAAGCTAAATTAAAAACTGGGTATTATGTGATCTAATATAATTCCTGAAGGACACAATATTTGATAATTACATTTACAAGATGATTTTTAAATGAGTTATCCACATCTATGAGTGTGTCTATTTTGATATACATAGGAGGAGAGTAGAACCAGGATTAAACAACTCACATAAAAAATTGGCATAAAATTCTGGGTATGGTTTGTGCTCAGGCTAAACCATATCAGATTAATTAAAGGGGGAAATAAGGTTTAGACATCGAGATGATATTCTTAAATTGGTTCACTGTCAATGAGTAAATTTCTGTTTTTTATTCACGAGAATGTATGAATTTCTTATGATCGTCAAAAGAAGACCACATGGTAATAATACTATCAAATGAGTGAGTTTTCAAACGAGTGAATTAATACCCCTGAAATCATGTCTTTCCACTTTATTTCATTTAAAAAGTAGGGCATTTTCCCTTGTTTTTTTGGTAAAATTTTACATTTCAGTGCGGAATTACATTTCAGCCCTCTTGGCTGATGGCTGTCCTGCTGGGAACTTCATGCTCTGGGAATGCCTGTCGGGTGAGGGGTGGTGCTAATGATTTGCAGCCCTGGGGTGTGACTGGAAGTGGCCACAGTGGCTAACAGTTCAGTTGCTGGTTACACTAAATCACAAGGTCCTTGAGGGAAAGGACAGTGGGTAATCCTCTTGGTCCCCACAGATGCGTCCTCCCTGGTTACAGTGCTGGGAACCGCTCAACGTGTGGGACAGCTTTCCGTGGTCCCCCTTGGTTTTCTCCTGCCAAGGTTTGGTCTTGGACACTTGCTCGTGCAGAGACCCCTGAATGTGCAGTTCCCCTGTAGTCTTTAATCAGCTCGTCCGCTTGGCTTTACACGCAATCGGAGGCTCAGGACCTGTCTTTCCCTAAGTCAGCACTTTTGCTCCTTTTTTTTTACCTCTTGTGAGGACGATCAGGCTGAATGGGGGGCACAAGATAAGTCCAAAAACAAAATCAGTCACCTGACGGGGGTACAAAACGAAAATGGAAAGGCAGAAGCTGCCTCCTGGTAATTTCCTCTGAACTAAGTGAGGTCACGCAGCCGGAGCAAGGCCACTTCCGCCACCCATTCAGAGTCGGGCACGGTGAACATTTAGGCTGCAGCCCTAGTCTCTCGGTGATAAGTAGTATGTCAATATATAACCTGCTGGGAACGGTCTCTAGTATGAAAACAAAATTCCTGAGGGGAAATAGGACATAATGCAGTTTCATTCGAGGGACCATTTGAGGTTAATTTTTCATAACATTTTAGAAAATTACTTGTTAAGATTTGAAATAACGTTTTAGAATACCATTTGGTGGTTCATGTTTGGTGGAAGCAATGTACCGAATACCTACGAGAACAGCAGTTTGGTTTTTGGAAATTACAAGGTTAGGTTCATATTTATTTCTTTGGACAACAAATATTTACTTTGTGTCCATTATGTACCAAACAAACAATGTGTTGGAGGCAAACAGGTTAAAATCCGACTTAGTTGCCCAACTTTATTTAAATCAATTGAAATGACTCTTGTTACACACATTTTCCATTGTGTGTTCATTTCTGCTTCTGCTTGCTTGGCTTTTTCTCTGGAGAGTCTTTCATGTACACTAAAATGGGGCTTCGTTATTAATTTTTTGGAAAACTTTATCTGTTAAGCCTTGTTAGACTTCTATTTGTGATTAAAAAAATAAAATTTGCAAGTAAAATTTCTCTAATGGAATAGAATATCTTTGTTTTTGTTTTCTCTGGTGCTATCAGAGCACATTTTCATACACTTCTAATTTGCATAAATTAGTGTAAACTGGAATAATTCTCTCTATATATACACATATATACATATACATATAATGGAAACTATCAGAACATTCTAGGCAAGTTAGGGCTCCAAAATATAAAAAAAAATACTCCTTAAGAAAACCTATGGTTGGTCCCTCAAATGGAGCTGCCCGGGAGGGGAGCCAGCCTAAAGGAGGCCCTGGGAACTCCCTCCCCTCCAGCCTTTCTCTGCCCTTGGTCTCCAGGGCTCACATGCTCTCTCAGGACAGGAGATGGGTGATCAGGGTTGGGTCCAAACCATTGGGCCGTTGCTTTCTCTTTCCTGCCTCCCTCTGTGGCCAGAATATTCGTTTGGCAAAGTTTATTCATCATCCTCCTGCGGCTGGACTAGCTCTTAGATGGGAACACACAAGTGAGATGAGTTTGAGAGGCGCTTCTGCTTGGGAGTGAGGGGGATGTTTGTGGCACTGAAAGAGGGTGAAATGAGCAGCCATCTGACAGATGCTCCCCGAAAACTGCCTATCTTTGTGGGTTGGGTGGCTGAGTGAGAGAATTTATAGTCCAATCAAGAAACTGAGGAGAAGCAGGGCTCCTTGTTTCAGGCAATTCTCTAGATTTTAAAAGGAAGACAAGACTGTCTACTTCTGAATTTGCAATATTCTTCCACACCAATTGCAGCTATGTAGGAACAGAAAATGCACTCAGAACAGTCCCACCTCTGGACTGTTTAAGTCTATCTACTAGTGAAGAAAGGTTCTGGGACAGTAGGTGGTATATTCTGTTAATCGTATACCTACTTTTTTCTTTAGACACTGTTTAGAAATTAAATATTATTTTCTACAGCTGGAAATATGACATGGAGGCAGGGAAAACACGCTGAGTTGGTCTTGTTTTTATAGTTGGCTCACTTTGTAGTTTGGTCCACTTACGGGAGGCAAAAAAATCTCTAGTTCACATGACTATCTTTGATTTACTATTTAACTTATTTAATGGAAGCCTGCGGGGTTTAGATCAGAGGAGTAACTTTCTGGCAAGTACGCAGATCTAGGTGGAATGACTGCTGTCACTTAAAAACATGTCATAGGACTTCTGGCGAACCTCTTCTCTTCGCCACACCGCCCTTTCAACACCTAGCGTCCCTCCCCGCTTTCCAAAGCCAAGGGTTAGAGAACTAACAGGATTTGGTCCACAGCTGCTTCCGAGCCAGAGATTTTCAACAGTGGTTTTAATGAGGTTTGTCAGTGTGTCCCCAAATCGATAACGGCGGCAAATATTTTTGCTTTGACAGTAATTGCATACTTTAGTTGTCGCGAAGGGGCTTGACTAGCAGTCCCGACGGCATTCGTAGGCCCGGACTAGAGTCTCCCAGCAGATGCACCTATTACTTGACATACTGTTTACCCGCTTTTGGTGACATTGAGGCTGACCTTGGAGTCACCTCCCCCGCTGCCACATTCTCCTTTGTCGTACCACCATTTGTTTTTCAATTTGTCCAAGAGGCCTTGTTCATTCAGTTTTAAAACTGCGAGGTTAACAGCATTTCTTGAAACGATAAAACATATTTTGTAAGAAACTGCACAGCCGTTAAGATGTTAGAAGGAATGAGGGCTTAAGCTCTTTCATAAGCTTCTCCCAGGCGCTAAATAAACCTCTCATTTCGGCATCCCGCAGCCCCTTCGGCAGGGCCCGAGCCAAAGGCAATCGCAGCTAATGTCACACTGGGTCAGGCATGTGGCGTTTAGTGCTGCTCACTTTCGCAGTTCGTTTATTGCCAAATAACCGACATCATCATCGACCAATTACATGGATTGTTTTTTTTTTTTTCCAAAACAGTGATAACTTGGATTTACTAGTAATTGAGAAAATACTGTGTCTTGAATTCCTTTGCCCGAGAATGTCAACCATCTAAAAGAGACTGAAATGAAAATTCATTCCCAGAAGGAAAAATATAATGGCATGAACAAACCAACAAGCAGCCGCTAATTTTTGTGTGCGGATTTCCCGACAACGGACTATGGCTTAATTACCATCTCCCTTATTATTTGTGGGAGTCTGTTTGCCTGATCTTGCTGGTCTCAGAATCTAGGATTTTTATGTTTGGTTCAGTTTCCCGGGCTGGACGTCACAGGATAGTCCAGAGAAAGGTAGTAGCAGCTTTTAGTAAAACGTTATTATATTTGAATTTTGTGTTGATTCTTAAAGGCATTGGATGCTATTGAGAAACTCAAATCGCATAGCCAATTTGACTGTTTAAATTAAGTAGCCGAACTCTAGGAAGTCATGCCACATGCGATGTGACTTTGCAAAAAAAAAAAAAAAGTTCTGTACATTAGATTTCCTCCATGTTCATCTCTGTAGTTTAGGGGGCAGAGGTAGAATGTCCTAATTATGCTCTAAAAAGGTTTATAAAAAATTTCACGGGCTTTTGTCTTCCACGCATTTGGTTTCTTTCTTACTTTCGCGAGTTACAGTTTTTAAGTGAGCTGTCTCTTTCAAGAGGTTTTCCCGGCATTTAATAGAATTTCTGTTAAATCTAGAGAATAGCTTAGATACTGAGAGAATTTGAGTACAGTTTGTGCTATGCTATTCGATAAATACTGAGTTTGGTGATGACTTAATGCCAAATGAATTAATGAAATGAAACAAAACAACCCCAGATAAATGATGAGCACTTGAAATTGATCATCCAGTTGATTAATAAAAACTGATTAGATTCAGTTCGCTACAAATCAGCCTTTTAAAGTGTCTGTTCTCTTAATATGTGTTTGTAATATTTCAAGTAATCGACGTTCATTTTCCACGATGTTCGTGTTGTGATGGTCTGATCCACGTGGAGAGTAAACATTTCCCACGAGTAAACCACACTTTGAGAGTATTAACTCTTTTTAAGAGTTAGACTGCCGTTTACTAAGTGTTAAATAAGTAGCTGTTTCCACATTCTCAAGTAAGTTCTGCATAGTGGTGTAAAATAATTAATATGCTTCCTAAAGTAAACAATATCAGGTTGTTAGTTTAATCACCAAAAGGACCAGACTGAAATGTAGCTGCGTATTCAATGATGATAGAGATGTCTATTTTTATTTTTAATGCTGCTGAGTGAAAGAAGCTGCTTTAATTTATTTTGTGTCCACAGGAAACTAAATTTGTCTTTCAATGATTTAAACCTAACTGCTAATTTGTTTTTATTTTTGGAGAAAATTATTTTTATAATCCACTTTTTAGCCTTAAAATTCATATTAAATTCTTTAAAAATAAAGTGACATCCCAATTATTTTATGCATTGGTTTAGACCATTCCTTTGAAAAACTAAAATCATTTCATGAGAGGGTTATTTAACAGGGTTATTAGCCATATCCAAAGACAGTTTCACAGCACAATAGAAAACAAAAAGGCAAAATAAAGGAATGGGTAAGGAAAAAAAGCTTTACATTGAGAAAACTGTTTGGAATAAGCTTTCTACAAAATTATTCTAAGACATTGTATTTCTAATATCATCTAATAGGCCATGTAAAAACAGTTTAGTTTCACACTGCTATCCATATATGTGTGTGCATATATATCTATAGTTGGTTAATATAATACACTTGACCAATAGGTAATTCACTGCTCAGTTCACAATTAATCCATGTGTTCTCCTTCTAGAATCATGTGTTCCCTCAATAAAGTCTACTTTATCCTGTCATATGTAAAATTAATTTTTCTTTAATGATGTATAGAAAGCATTTGGTAATTAACATTTAGGGATAGTCTTCAGGATATCAAGATTCCCTTGCTTGTTAAAACTGCATGTCTTCTACAATTGTCTGAAGATGGAATTTCTTTGTATAATCAGTTCAGGTCCAAGGACCTCTTTAAATTGCTACTTAAACTGCAGTATAAACCACATATATAAGGACCACTTGAACATGTGTTCTGTTTCATGGAATGCATTGCTTTTACATGCTATTAATAAGAATCAGCAAATGACTTTAAAATATATATAAAGTTACTTCACTCAGTTTGCTAGCATAGATTAAAAGGAATTTTTTATCCAGGCAAAAAGGAAACAGAACTGAGGGAGTGATCGTAAGCAAGACTAAGGCGCTGGAAGGAGTCAGGTACATGAGGGACCTAGGAGGCAGATCCTTGCTGCAGCACTTTCTCATTCCTCGGGACTCCCTTTCATGATTTCAGACATAGTTTTCAGAAACACATATTGATAAGAAGGGAAGTTCTTCTCATTAAGCATCAGAGAAGCTGTCATAGAGATCTGCTCAACATATAAGAGATAGAAGAAAAACATTATGGGTTCTTACCCTCTACCTTTCCATAAATAATTTATCAGTAAAGTCTATAGACGTGAACATGCTTTTATGCTTACTTTAGGCTTTGCTCATTATATTTTCTTCTGGACCATATTTATTACAGTGTAATTTTTCTGTTGCTGAGGTTTTAAAGTTTGCACCTAAGAAAATGTCTACCTAAGTAAATAGAAAAAAAATTAGAAGTGTAAGTTCGGTGAAGTATTTTTATGATTGCCTGGATTTGGAACATTATTGTAAAGGACTAATATACAAGCCTGGGATTTATTCATTGTCTGCACACAGAATATTTAGGGCATATATAATTTGTAGAATAAATAATTTGCAATATTATATTGAGTCTAGTTAAAACAAATTCAGTTACATTTTACTTAATAATATTATCATTTCCTTGATGGTGAAGATGTCAATAATGTATGGGCCTAATCCAGTTTATTTATTTAAACTACTGTATAATTTTGCTAGTGCTTTTATATCCTTATAAGAAAGGATACATTAGTTATATAAAAATGAGAAAGTCTCCTCAGTTTTAAGCCTGTGCTGTCCTAACTAGAGTGACCTTTTCATACTAAACTCTCTATAAAATTTAAATATCTGGTATTAAAATGTCCAGAATATTTACCTGAAAGATGCTAAGAATGTTTTTCATAGTTCCAAATGCATCTTAATATATTTTTAAAGTTTTAATAAAACTTAAAAATTGTGTGAATCAAGAAATTTTGTAAAAAAAAAAAAAGAAAATCTTTTAAAATCAGCAAAGGATATTGGTAGATAATCCACTCAAGAAAAAATACAAATCATGTATAATACCCAACCTTACTTGGAATTAAAATAATGTAAATTAAAACAATACAAATTCATTTTTTGCCATTCATATTGGAAAAGATAAAAGTAAAGATAATATTCAATATAATCAAGAATTTAATAAGATGAGTGTGTTCTTCATATACTGATGATAGAATTAGAAACTAGAAAGAAATAATATGGCTTTATATACTAAAAGATTAAAACAATTCTTACCCTTGATAACCATTGATAATAATTCCCCTTTGAGGAATCAATCCTAAGAAATTAATCAATGATGTTGATAAAGTAACATAAATCTCATAGTACATTTATATGGCAAAACATTGAAAGCAACTGACATGTCCTACTGAAGAGGAGAATTAATTAGATATTGGTGCACAACAGTGGTCCTCAAAGTTGGTATGAGTATTAGAACCACTTATTACAAATATAGATGCTCAGGCCTAGCCTTGCTAAATCAAATTCTTCTGAATTGGTTGCAGAGTTTCTACATTTTTACAGAGCTCCCTAGGTGATATTATTGATACACACCAATGATCCTTATGCCTAAATGTTTTACAACTATTAAAAGTTTTTAATAAGAGAAAATGCTTATAGTATACTAAGTGAAAAAAAAAAAATTGTATATTCATTGTGACCTTAATATGAGAATAAAATATTACATATATGTTAATGGAAAAATATACCCATGGAGGGATTATAATTAATTTGAATTTCATTTTGTTCTTTTAAGTTTCCCCACCCACCCCAAATTTTCTACAATGAGAAGTGATACTTTAATAATCAGTAAAAAACAAACAAAACCCATCTCAATTATTTTATAATATAATGTCTAATAGAATTGTTTTTATGCAAACCAAAATATATATTTTATTTTGCATCAAAAAATTGAGGAAGAGGTAGAACTTAGGAATTATGGAATTATCCTTAAGAATCTCAGAAAGACATTCATTGTTCCTAATTATGTGGTTTACTTTGATCCACTTGGTTTTGTGTCTGTAGTCACAGGCTGGAGGGCATGTGATGAATTTGGCTTCTACCATGGTGCTACCTTATTTGAGGGGAACAAGTCAGGCAGAGAAGTGTGAGTAATGTACCAATTAGGAGGCCTACCCAATCAGATAGGATCTGCAGAGGTTAATAGAACTCTGAGTGGCCCAGAGAGACGACTTGTGTTTCACACATGGTTACATAAAGAAGGCAGTTTTCCCCCTAAAGCTGAATTAAATGATTGTGATTGGGAATAGACTTGAGTCCTGCTAAGTGGGCCATTAAAAAAGCCAAAAAACATACATCTCTGGTTTTACAAAAAAAGATGCCATACTGGCAAATACTTTAGAGATCCTAAGAAAAGAATATATTTCAATTTTTTGAAGGAATTTTTAAAAATTTAATTTTTAAAGATTTCCCGCATATTCACTCTCTCTATCCCTT